GTGTTGCTAAAATATGTCAAGCTGTTACCACCTGGGAACAACTGGTCAGAGCCTACCAAGAAAAAGGAAGCGCCTCAGTTGAGGTCTGGAGGCTCCCCTGCCCTCTCTGCCCCAGAGCATCAGGGGTTCACTAGCTGCTTCTTCCCAGAGACTGCAACCCCGCCGTCTTGACTATGAAGTGCTACTGTGCTAGGTCAAAAGAGGCAAGATCAGCCCCTTAGCAGTGACTGTAAAAGAAAAGGCAAAGGGTTAGGCCCTCAGATTTGGGAGAAAACTGCTAGAAAGTGTCACCCTGACAATCCTTGAGACTCAAGGGGCAAAATTAGAAATTCAGAATCCTACATTTAAAATTTTTTTAATTAAAAAAATTTTTTTTTAGGTCTGGGGATGCAACTCAGGATCCTGGGCATGCTAGGCAAGTGTTCCACCACTGAGCTATACCCCCAACACACCACCACTTAATGTCAATATTTTATCCACATGAAGACTCAATATTGGCTTCCTGAGGCCTGGGGATACAACTCAGTGGTATAGCCCTTGCCTGGCATGTGTGAGGCCCTGGGTTAGATACTCAGCACTGCAAAAAAAAACAAACAAAACACTGGCTTCTTCACATGAATTTTGGAGGTAGAGGTGAGTTCAAATCTCTCCTTTATTGCTTGATAGCTACAGGCCCTGGGATAATGTTACTCCACTCATTTGGATCCCCATTCCTACATATATAGCAATCAAAGAATTGTTGAAAAGATTAAATAAGGGATTTTTTAAAAACCTTGCATATTGTAAAAGTTTAATAGCTATTAGCTTTCTTTTCTCTTCTTCATCCTTTCCCATAGCAAATGGGCAAAGAAAATACTAAAAATCTCAGGGAAAAAAAAAAGAAATCTTCAATTATGACTTTGTTTTCACTTTTTAAAAAATTATTTTATATTTTGGTATTGGGGATTGAATCCAGGGGGATTCAGCTTTAGCACAAACCCCCAGTTCTTTTTTTTTTTTTTTTTTTTTTAATTTTGAGACAGTGTCTCATTAAGTTGCTGAGGTTGGCCCTGAACTTGTGATCCTCCTGCCTCAGCCTCCCCAGGCTTTGAGATTATAGACGTGTGCCAAAGTACCCAGCCTGTTGTTATTTTAATCTGATTCTGGATGCCTGGTATAAATTTTGAATCTGGTAGAGAAATTCTGTGGAGACAGAGATTGTCTTTACAGCCCTTGCCCAGCATTTGGAAAAAGATAGATATTAGGTAAATGCTACTTAAATGAATGTTGGATTTAATAAGATCCACATGTGGAATATATAAGAAACATTAGGTCAGAATTACCAGGATGTGAAAGTTGTCGGAATCAAAATGGAGTCACTTGTGTCAACCCTAACACAATAAAGTAAATAAAGCCAGGAGGATAGGAAGGAAGGGTTATTGTGCAAGATTGCCTGATAGTAACTATGCCAAAAGACTCTGCAGGACTACAACCTTACACAGAAGCCACCACAAACTTATACAAAAAGTACTTCTACAAGGACATCTGCCCAGCAACCATCTTCAGCCTCAGACTGATACCACTCTTGTTATTGATGATTGTGGCCAAGGACTATTGTTATAAAATATCTGATGTAATCTTCATTTTTATCTTTAAAAACTCCTTCTTGTCACCCAATCTCATTGAATATGCCCATGGTTTATCATATGCCCAAACTATATTTCCATAGTTTGGTATGGACACAGCAATGCTCTACTGTTCCCCACAAAATACTTTCCCCAAATAAAACGTCTTTGGACAATCTCTCTCTTCTGACTTTTTATAAATTTAGATTGAACATGGTCAGGAGTTACGGTGATCTGCACGAACAGGGTCAAAACAAAGTTTGCAGGCCACAAAGAACTATTCTGTGGAATGACTTGTGAATCTGTTTAGACAACTCTTTTTTTCTAAATTGCAAAGCTCAAGGTACTCTGTCCAAATACTTCTCCCCCATTCGAAGGTGGTTTACTTAGAAAAAGGCTGAAACCGCTCACAGAGAGACAAACACACTCATCTGTCTGTGAGAAAGCATAAACAATTTGGGTTTTCACATTGCTCAACTGAGCACAGAGGATTCAGCCTAAAAGGACAAACTAAATAGATGTTTGCATGATGTAAATAAGACGCGCTGTCAGAGTGTTTTAAAATGTGAAATTTTTAACATTTCCTGACCCTGTTGTGGGTGGGGAGTGGACTAGGGAATGAGTAACTATTTCTATTAAATTTTAAAGGCACACCTCGTATTGAGTTCCTTCACAGGTGTGCAAGAAGGAATGTGAAAACCCAGGACTTTGTATTTTTGGTTGACAGAAGAAGTGTTAGAATCTCTGATACAGAAGGTGCCAGGTCAAATGAGAGAGCTTCTCCCAGCTAGCAATACTGTCATCTCCAAACAGTAGGCTTGGGATTGTGGTCACCTTGTGCTATTCCCATTCTGCTGCTGATAGGGTGACTTAACTCTCTCGAAGGTTGAAAGCTCCTATCTCTCTTCCCCTAACTTTATTCTCCAATAAAAGAAAATCCAGGACTGCTGAACCCACTATCAAGACTGCAAATGGGATGTTAAAATCCACAGTCACATGGCCGTAAAGGATAGGAGATCAGTAAATGTCATTCTCAATATCTACTTTTAAATTTCCCCAAATAAAAGAGCTATCTGTTTCCCTTCAGGGCTTAAATCAATTCAATCTTCAAAACATTCAACCCCATAGGGGAAAAGTGGGGAAGGGATTTTTTTTTTTTTTTTTTTTTGCTTGTTTATGGGCTAAAGGTGGCCTCTCTGTTTGCTTTCATTGATGGTTTATGCTATTACCGAGTGGCAGAACTCACACTGGTTTTGTAAATTGCATTCAACTCACCTTCCTGCTAAAGAGAAACAGAATGGAGATTTGCCTTTAGAGAAATTTTAGAAAACTTCTGTCCCAAATAAAAATTTTCTAAGTGAAAGGTTGCATTTTTCTAAACGAGACAACAGGTAGGTGCAAACAGGCCTATGAGAACTGAGGGTTACAAGTCACTTGCTAAACAACCAGCCAGGGCTGCCTGTGCTTGGGAAGAAGCAAGAGTTAGAGGCAGTGGTCCTGCTATAGAAGGACCCCACAAATATTTGCTTCAAATATTTGGAGAAGACAGATTCATAGCATGCCCTGGATCAGAACTGCCCTGAGATGGAAAGATTGGGAATAATTCCCCTTCCCAAAGAAAGAAAGAAAGAAAGAGGATTAAGGGGCTGGGGTTGTGGCTCAGAGGTAGAGCGTTTGCCTAGCACAGGTGAGGCCCTGGGTTCGATCCCCAATACCACATAAAAATAAATAAAGACATTTTTCAAAAGTGGAATCATCTTAATAAAGAAAAACGATTAAGATATGAGTTATTTATACCAAGAGACTTCTTGGAAATACAGAGCAAGATTTCTAGTTCATGGTACTGGACTTGGGCGTAAACACCAGGGAAGGAGTTTGGCATGAAGCATTGTCTCTGTTGTCCTGGCTTCAGCTGTGTGTAAAAGAAGGTAAGAAAAGTGCCAAGCACCCCCGCCCCATGGTCCTGCAGTTTTGCAGCATAGAGGATGCCGCACTCTAGGAACACTTGTTGGTCCAGCTAAAAACTCCTGCCAAATTCTATGACACCCAAATAGTCTGATGCCCAGGGCCTGTGCCAGAGAGAAAGAGCAGCATTCCTGAAATCACAGGTGGAAACTGGTGAACTGACACAGGTTAAGGAGTGACACCATCAAAGCAGAGTGTCACCCACAGTCACAATCACCCCATCACACTGCCAGGCATATCCAGCAACCAAACCACCCAGAGTCATAAAGGCCCCTTGGTCAGAAAATTACAGCCTCCTGCACGGTTGGGTCCAGTTAGATACAAACTAACACACTCGATCCCCTTGGAAAGATGCCCTCTCCTTTGAAGATCCATCCACTCACCTGATTGCCAAAGACAGCCACGGAGCAGGCTGTTGAAACCTCATTAGCCCCGAACCAGACTGAAGCGATGCGGGAGGGCATGCCCAGGATGAAGACTTGGGCAACGGAGCAGATGACCTGGCCCAGCACAGTGACCGGGAAGAGGTGCGGCTTCAGGCTGCCCAGCTTCACCCAGGCTCCCAGGCAGTTGAGAGCTGAGCCAGTGAGGGCGATGGTGCGCAGACCAAATTTCTCCAGCAGCCAGGCCACGGGCAGGAGCAGAGGGATGTAGGTCAGCATGTAGCACATGGACAGCCAGTCGATGGCAAAGGCACTAACCCCGTAGAAGTGCATGAATATGTTATTGATGGAGCTGTATTGGATCCACTGGAAGGCGTTGCACATGGAGTAGCAGCTGAACACGAGCACCACAGCCCAACGGCGCTTGCTCAACTTGATCACACTGAGTTCCTGACATGAGCTACTTGGGTGGTTCAAGCCACCAGGTTGCGCCGAGGTACTGGGGTGCACCGAACTGCTGGGGTGGGCCGAGACGCTGGGATGGATGGAGACGATGGGATGGACCGAGACGCTGGGTTCTGCCTGGAGAGCTTTCTCCAGCACAGGGGGGTCACTGAGCTCCTCCAGGTTGGGATTTTCATTCACCATGGCCACAGCCTCCCCGGGAGCCCTGACAGGTGCTGACTCCGGCACTCCGGTGGGATAATGGCTGATGGGAAACTTGCTCAGGAGCGCAACCGTGCACCACAAGAAACGGAGAGCCGAGCTGTGAAAAAGCAGTGGATAGTGCTCCCTGCACTCACCCCCAAACTCCTGCTCTCACTTTTTCTTGGATCTTGGTCCCCACCCGCGGCAGCTGCTGTCCCCAGGCTGGCCTCAGACGCGTCAGCCCGCTCCTGGCTGTTCCTGCCTTGGGCTCCTCTAGCTGTTCTTGGTCCTAGTAAAAGTTTGCTCCTTGGACAGCCACTTCGCCGGCTCTGTTCACTCCGGGGCCCGATCGGGGCCTCGCCCCCTTGGGCGCACGTGACCGCCCCGCCCCCGTTCCGCCCGGCTTCCCCCACCCCGCTAACTCCCTCCCACCCGGTGTCCCCTGCCTTCTCGAGCCGGCCCGCAGGGCAGCTCGGTTGTTTCGCCACAACTTGCGGGGTGCATTCCTCCCCCACGCCCCGGGCGCCATGGAAACCGCCCGGTTAACTCCCACCCCTCCGCACAGCCTCTGAAATTCATTCGTCCCCCTCCCAGTGAACCCCCGCAAGAAGATCCCCTGCGCTCTTCCGAGGTAAGAGTCTGGGGACGAGTCCGCACGCCCAGCCCGCGCGCACGGAGACCGGCGTCCCCACCGTCCCCACGGTGCACTGGGGAATCCAAGACGGATACCCAGCTTTCTCCCTCTGGGCTGGCCTCCCGACCCCTGGCTGAGCCTTCAGTGTAAAGGGACATTTGTGGCTGCGCTCCTGGATTAAAGGAGAGATGCAGAAAACTCGCTTTTCTTGTTGCTTTCCCGAGAACACGGTCTTATCTGGGGGGACTCATATTTGAACTTAAGTAGGGCTATTATGTCCTGATGGGTCTCTGCGACCTCCAACGCGGGGACCTGGAGTGGTAGGGAGACGAGACGTCGGCGAAGTCGATCGACGAAGCTGCGGACGGTGGCGGTGGGGAACTGTGTCGCTCCGCGCTGGCTCTGGGCGTGGTGTTGGAAACGGTCTTTGCCCCCAAGTAGCCCTAGGCTGCCACCTGCCGGTCCCAGGCCATTCCAGAGAGTAAACCCTCACCTAGTCGTGGTCGGACGTGCAGGCCTGCAGCCTTCGTCCATTTCAGCCAAGGCAAGTGACAGTGATAGAGGCCCAATTGTCCCTGGGCTCAGACTCTTGACTCAGCGACTCCTAGATGTGCAACTGCAGATAAAGTACGTCCCCTCTGCACCTCAGTTTCTTCATCTGTGCAATGGCGATGATGAAATAGTGCCTACCTAGAAGTGTTGCTTGAGGCTCGAGTGAGTCCATACAGGAATGTGTTGAGAAAACTCCTGGCAGATGAGTATTCTGTGAGTCTTGGCTATCCTAGCAAAAAGCTAGTATTTGTTACACTGTGCTAAACAGTAATGCATTATCTCATTTAAGCATCACAATGACAGGTCATTATTATTGCTTGCCTTTTTTTTCCCCTCCTTTGGGTGCTGGGAATTGAACCCAGTATGTGCTGAACACAGACTGCACCACAAACCAAACCCCCAGCCCCCATTTTACAGATAAGAAAACTGAAGCTCTTAGAAGTGAGATAACTTCTTATTTAAGGTCCCATCTGCCCTGGAGAGCCATGATGCTCATTCAAGTCCATAATCATTCAATCTATAACCCAGGTCTTCAGGTTGGGTGTGTAGGCAGTGTTGAGCATCCCCAGGAACTTGTTAGAAGGGAAGACTTCCTGGGGACCCCAGACCTCCTGAATCAGAATCTGAAATTTAACAGATCCCCAGGTTATTTGTTTGTTCAAACATTAAAGTTTGAGAGCCCTTGGGTGCTGTGGCTTCATTTTTGTTTTCTTTTTTTAAAACTTCAGCCAAACATGAATAATTTAAAGCCCTGGGACAGTGGTTCCAACTTGGTTTGCACATTAAAATCACCTGGGAGAGGGCTCTGGACATAAGGGGTGCCCAGGCCACAGTCCAAATCAGAATCCCTGAGGGTGGACAGGTCATCCAGATCTGCAACCAAGTTGGAGCCAGGCTTGGTGGGTTAGAACCACTGGTTCCCAGGAGAATGAGATTCACTCTTTTTAGTGAAGCCCTCTCCCTACTGAGAGGCTCCCCTTCACTTTTTGGTAGAAATTATAGAGCCTTTAACTATAATGGAATATTTGAAGAGGAAATATATACCCATCTAAGAATTTCTATGCTAATTTTACAGTCTGTATTCTCAGAATTCCTCTAGTATTCCCATCTTTTTGCAGGGAGAATAGAATCTGTGTTCCTTGAGACTACTCTCTGCTCTTTTTTTTTTTTTTTTTTTTTTTGGTACCGGTGATTTGAACCCAGGGACATTTAATTTCTGAGCCACCTCCCCAGCCCTTTTTAATATTTTATTTAGAGACAGTCACTGAGTTGCTTAGGGCCTCGCTAAGTTGCTGAGGCTGGCTTTGAACTCACTACCCTCCTGCCTCAGTCTCCCGAGCCACTGGGCAGTATAGATTCTTAACTCCACTTTTACAGATAGAGAAACTGAGGCTCAGAGAGGGGGGCTGTGTTCCTCAGAGTTCTACAGCTAATGAGTGTCAGAACAAACTAGAACAGTAAGGCAGGTTGTCCTTCCATGTAGTCTCTTCTGTGCACTCTTCCAGAGCAGTGCTTTAGTCTGGTGGCAAATCTCAAGGGTCTAACCTGGATTTCAAGAAATATTTTGGGTTGCTCTTGTGGTGAAGTGGATCGATTTGCTGTGAGCACTGGGTTGGGTCTACTCAGATTTGGAGCTCTGTTCTGCCATTATTAACTTTGGGATCTTGGGCAAGTTACTTAATCTCTTTATCCTTCAGTTCTGAATCTATCAAATGAGGATTTAAAATACCTGTCTCATAGAGTTGCTATGAGCATTAAACAAGATAATGTGTATAAGTTGTTTTCAATAATAATGATGATGATATTTCAGCAGCCACCAGAACTGTGCAGATGCCTGGCTGGTTCCCACCACAAGGTGGACAGTTACATAGATTTTAGGAAGAACTGGGCACGGTGGCACACACCTGTAATCCCAGCAACTCAGGAAGCTGAGGTGGGAGGATCACAGGTTTGAGGCCAGCCTCAGCAACTGAGTGAGATCCTGTCTCAAAATAAAAAAGAGGGCTGGGGATTAACTTAGTGGTAGAGTGCCCCTGGGTTCAATCCCCAGTACCAAAAGAGAAAAAAAAATTAGAAATATATTACTAATGTTCTGATAAAGAAACATTCCATATTAATCCAAATGAAGAAACATTTATTAAGTGCTTACTGTGTGTTCTATTTATATATTTGTTCTATGGGAATCTGCAGGTACACCTTGAGAGAACCCCTGGCATTGAGTTCCAACTTTCCCGGCCCTCTGCAGGATGGTTGCAAAGTCTGCCCCCTGCTGGCTAACATCTTGGCTCTAAAAGCAGGACTTGAAGTCAAAAATGTCACACTCTTCTTGTTACCACAAGCTAACCAGGGGCTGCAGATGCAGGGGGCATAGAGCTTATCAAGTGCGGAGGAAGGCTAAATTTTCAATGAAATGAATCAAGTTGAGACACTGGCACTTGCAATCTGTAAGGTTGACTGTAATAGTTTTGCATGTGTGATTTAGATTTGGAATACTACATGCTCAACAATATTCTGTTTGCCTTATCTCCCATTCTTTCCACAGATATATAGTTCTCTAAGGACTCAGGTATATCTGGAGCATTTAATGAGACAAATTAGATAGCACATGTCCTCTGTATGTGTCTGTAGTACCAAGTTAAATTACACATCATCATGGAATTTAAAAAAACTGGAGACAAAGAGAAGATCCAACAAACTTTCAGAGGGATAAGAAAAATTGGTTTCATAAACTATTTTCCAAAAAAAAAAGAAAAGAAAAAATAGGGACAAAATGTCATTAGAGGGCTGGGGTGGTGGCTCAGTGGTAGAGCGCTCACCTAGCACATGCAAGGCCCTGGGTTCAATCCTCAGCACCACATAAAAATAAACAAAATAAAATTAAAGTATTGTGTCCAACTACAACTAAAAAAAATGTCATTAGAGTTATCAAGCCTAGAAATGGTCCATTAGTGGAACAGTGCCTTCTGAGGAAAGAGTATTTCCTGCCTATAATTCTGTACCCAAGCTATCAAAAACTAAGTATGAAAAAGAATCAAACATGTCCTGACGTGCAGAGTTCCAAAAATGGGGACTGTCTTATCTCCCATCTCAGAAAGCTGCTAAAGGATATGCTCCACCAAAACAAGGGAGGAAACCTAGGAAGAATAAGATTGAAACAGGGATTCCAACACAAGGGACAGGTGACAGGAAGATTTTTCCATGCTAAAGGAAAAAATCACAGGTGGACAGCAAGCAATATGCCAAGCAGAAGAAGAGGCAGCCTGTTCAGACTGAAGCTGGTCTGAAGACTTGAGGGAAGGTTTATTCAAGGTGATATTGGTGGTATTATTTTTTTTTAAATATTAAGAGGAGGTTTCCACAATTGGGGGAGAATGAGGGATTGAACTAGTGATAAGAGCCATAAATATAGCTGAATAAATGGCAGAAAGTCATGATAAATTTTGGTGGAGCTGTGGAGGAAAGGAGAAATAAAATCATGGTATACCTTAAATGACTCAGCTGTTCATAGCATGGACACAATCAGATCATGTGAACACGGAAGGTCACATTATATAGACATCACCTTGGGTGATCTGACTTTTTTGGGAGGGTGGGGGAATGGGACCGGGCACACGTGTGTGGTGGTTGTCTGCCATATTGGAAAGGCTGTGTCTTGTGAACACTTAACATGGCAAAAATCAGGAAGCATCAGTGTACTCGTGCTACTTGGAGGTAAATACCAAAAGAATCATGGAGCTGTAAGCAGCTGTCAGAGAACAGGAAAGGGGGATAGGAAACTGGTATTTTTGATAGGTGACTGTTTCTCTTTAAACTATGCCTGATTCTCATTTTTTAAAAACAAAATAACCCTCCACATTTAAAAGTCAAATCAGATTAGATGGCGGTCTAGCTGCTTTCACTAAGATGTCTCGGAGTGTGGTCAACTCCATCCTGGATTTGATAATATGGTTGCTAAGAAGGACACCAAGACTCCAACCCTGGAATCTCAAAGGAAGGGATGTCCCCTTAGCTAACCTGTGACCTGCAACGCTGCACCAGGATATCACCACCTCAGAAAAATCAATGTGTGGTCAGAGGCCTTAGTAGCCACATCCTAATCTTGTTGGCCCTTCTGCGACCTTTTTGTTATTTTAAATATCTTTCATATTTAAAGAAGATTCTAGAAAGTCTCATCCCTTCCAGTTACAACTCAACTCTGTCTGGTCATCCAAAGAGGCATGCTGCTGTCTGCTCCTCTGGAATCCTGTGGATGGACGGCAGCTGGCCCACAGTCATGGAAACCCAAAGCCTGAGAACCTCCCTCCTCACACTCGCCACCCACTGGCTCCTGCCTTCCCTCCTCTCCCTTCCCACCACCGCCACCTTAGTTCTCTGTCATGGCTTCTCACCTTGGCCTGGCCACTGCCTCCTCCTTGTTCTTACTCCTTCCATTCACCATCACCTGT